CTTCCAGAGTGCGCTACTATACACGGCTGCTAACGGTGAGCGGCGAGTGCGGTGCACGAACATCGTGGCCAGCGTTAGCCCGAATACTGGTGAATGCATGAAGTTTGTCGATCAGGATGCCGTCGTAAACATCATCGCCAAGGAAGCTGCTGCTCGCATGACAGAGAAGAACCTCAAGGAGATTAGGGGAGCCTTGACGGAGAAGACTGTCGACATTCTTGCTGGCTACAGGAAGAACTTCACTGGCAACAATCCTCCTGGTCAGCTTGTACTACCGGAGAACCTCAAGGAGTTCGGCATGTACATTCTCGGACTGATCAAGTCAAGAGCCTTCAAGGGCGGTAAAGAGCCCACCGACCGAAGAGTCCACGACATGCGCATGATCAAGTCGATGGGCCCACTGGAGATGTCGCTATACCTCTACCCCCGCATCATCGCAATCCACAACCTCGACGCGCGCGACGGTTTCGCAAACGAAAAGGGCCATCTCGTAATGCCAGAAAACATCCGCGCCTCCTTCTCCAAAGTCGAAGAAGGCGGCGCCTACATCGTCGACAACGGCCAAGTCTGCCTCTTATGGCTGCACACCCAAGTCTCACCCAACCTCCTCGAAGACCTCTTCGGCGAAGGCAACAACAGTCTAAAAGCGCTCGATCCCTTCCAATCTACCCTCCCCGTCCTCGAAACCCATCTCAACGCCCAAGTCAGGAATATACTGCAGTATCTGGAGGGTACGAGGGCGTCCAAGGCGCTTACTATTCAGCTTGCGAGACAAGGGCTGGATGGCGCGGAATACGAGTTCGCGAGGTTGTTGTATGAGGATCGGAATAATGAGGCGCAGAGTTATGTGGATTGGCTTGTGCATGTGCATAGGCATATTCAGTTAGAGGTACTTGGCATCTGATGGTGTTACTTCGGAACGCGAATGCTGACTTTGAATAGCTTGCTGGACAGCGCAAGAAAGAGGACTCGGGTGATGGTGTTGGCTCGACTTTTGTTGGCCTGCGGACACCGTACTGGGGGTAGAATTGTAGAGAGAGCAGCGACTTTGATGGATGAAGTCTGTATTGCATAGCGATAGCGGGGAGGGTTGGCGAAGTATTCTTACACAGAGGGACGAAACCCACGTATTCAATTCAATACTCAACATTCCTCACCATCCTCCATCTACTATGCGCACTTTGATGTTCTCGCTCCACTCCAACCCACATCCGATTACGCACCGCCGTGACGCTTTAACAGGGATCACGCACGTGACACCCACTAGCGCACCTCGCTTAGCTTTTCCGCTCAACGAAGAAAATCGCCAGCGCCAGCCTTCCATCGAACTTTCGCTCGACAACTAACCCACAGCATCACGACGCAAAGATGCCTACCCGCCTAACCAAGACCCGCAAGCACCGCGGTCACGTCTCCGCCGTAAGTTATCACCCCGCGAAGCCCTTTTGTATAGTGCTAACTCGGCATCCAGGGTCACGGACGTGTCGGAAAGCACAGGAAGCATCCCGGTGGTCGTGGTATGGCTGGTGGTCAACATCACCACCAGACCAACATCGACAAGTACCATCCTGGTTACTTCGGAAAGGGTAAGTTATGAGTGTGTACGAAGTGCATGTTAGACATATACTGACTTCGTCTGCAGTCGGTATGAGGTACTTCCACAAGATGCAGAACCTCTCCTGGAAGCCCGTCATCAACCTCGACAAGCTCTGGTCGCTCATCCCCGCCGAGAAGCGCGCTGAGTACCTCGCCAACAAGTCTGGCAACGCCCCCGTCCTCAACCTCCTCGACTACGGCTACTCCAAGGTCCTCGGAAAGGGTCGTCTCCCCGCTGTCCCCATCGTCGTCCGCGCCCGCTACGTCTCCGCTGAGGCTGAGAAGAAGATCAAGGAGGCTGGTGGTGTCGTTCAGCTCGTCGCATAAGCGCCAGAACGATACGATACGATACGATCAACCATCACTCACACAACACGATTGTGCATGAAACGGCGTCTCGGAATGATACAAAAGGATACCATAACGGCAATGATTGGGATGGATCTTCAAGTCCGCAGTTACCCTACAAACGGGTCTGCGTTGACTTGCGTCAGCGTGGTGGCTGAGGAATGTTTCATAGACAATATGACCGTTCCTGAACAAACCTTTGGCCTTTGGCTGTCCCGTTCACGCCATGCGTGGATCGTGGCTCGGCATCGCTATGCTATCGCATGGCTGCTTCCGTGATGTCGTGATATTATGGCGCTGCGTGCTGTGAGGTGAAGTCTCTGCGATACTAACCTGATTCTGAGTATAGTAAACCCTGTTCCTTTTCGGTATGAACGTCTGTCGTCCAAGCAGAGCATTCCGCGCTTCAAGCGCTTGCGTCGATTCAATTACATCGACTAGAAAAATTTGTCGCATTGAATATGCGCCTGTGATTGTGACCTTTGCCTGCTATGCTTCCGATCAGTTACTCAACAGTCGCTCAGGGCCATTCGGGCGTGCTCAGCATTCTACCTTATTCGAAAATTAAGCTATTGCTCACAACATCGTTACCGTTTCACTCTCTTTCGTATCTGGACTCGCTCGTAACGAGCACTTGACGCTGCGCTGCCACCACGCCAACACAGCATCTGCGTACGTCCTTCGCAAACTAGAGATTTTCACCCGCTTCGATCCGTACATGCGTAGCTTCCATTGTAAACGCGCTGCATGGGAATGGGAGCGCATTGCTGAAAATTATGGCTAAGCTGCCGCTGGACGCATGCGTTGAGTGCTGTGTGTATGAGAATGCATTCCTCGTTGCACTGCACAAACATCTCCATGCCCATGAACATGGTCGAACGCCCTCAGCAGACCGCACAAATGCGCAATGGCAGCACAAACAACCAAGCAATGCATAATCTGGTGACTCGAACCCCAGACATCAAACCGGTTTGGATACCACTTCTCCGGGATCTGTATGTAGTCAGTTCCCCATTCCTTTCTTTCCACATAGAATATTTCTTCCGGCTCATCAACATACCCTCAGAGCATATACCACACCCCCAGTAAGATTGCACACCGCCATCACCACCATCCAATCCAAACTCATCCTCCCCATCTGCGTCTCCACACCAAACTGCAGTAAACCATGCACAACAGGAACGACAAACGAGAGACCAAGACCCGCATACATGGCCGCGCGGTACGGACGATATTCCGGGCGACGGAACGCTGGGTGGAGCGTTGCGTAGATACAAGCTCCTGCTAAGATGGAGGCGAGAGTGTAGTATGTTGTTTGTAGGTGGGGTGTACAGTAGAAACCGTAGTATACACTTGGGATGGTGGAACCCCACATTAGGAGTACTATGCCGAGCTAGATTACTCAGTTGGCTGGGGTGAAATTGGGGTGGGTGGGGGTGGGTTACGTACGTAGTCGAGCTGGTTACCGAAGATGTGGACGGTTTTGCTGTGGTTGGCGATGATGTGGAAACTTGTTCTTGTGTGTTAGTCACTTCCTAAGTAAGTCAAGTAATTAGTAAGTCAATGTGTGACACAAAACTTACGTTGCAGACAGTGCAAAGCAAATGCCGACACCGAGAAAGAAGGTTGCGTAGACTATGATGTCGGCTGTGGTTACTGTGGTATATCTTGGCTGCGCCAGAAAATAACATACGGGGATGGGGAGAGTGAAGAAGGATATTGAGCCGATGAGATGCGAGAATATGTTTGCTGGAGAGAGTGGTCAGTTTGTCTTTTGTAGGTATTGTACTGTGTGATGCCTTACCTGTTTCGTTGTGGATACTGAGGATGCTGCGCAGGGACTGCGCGTAGGAGTTTGAGACGGCTCTGTATATCTCTTTGTTTAGAAGCCGGTATCATTAAGCGGGTTACAGACAAGACTGTTACCTGTAGCCTGATAGAATATACTCGTTGTCTCTAACCCTCGTAAGCGGCACGTTGACGATGAATCAATATACGGTAGATGTACTGGTACCAACTCGCTACAATGTCGATCAGCTATAGAAACATCATGAGATCTAACATTTTACGTATATCATTCCACTTCAATAAGGAGACTCGTTGCTCTTTTGCTGCTAGGTCACGAGGCGTGGCCTTGCGGCTATTAGCCTTGATGTCCACATATGTGGTAAATACATGCGTACCTGGTTTTGAGCTGGCGAACTGACCCGGGCTGCCGGGAGTCGAGAACGAAGACTCATTCTGGGGTTGATGTTCTCCTCGAAGTGAAAAGTTGTGGTTGGGTGGAAGGTAGAAGTACATGCGGCACAGTAGATGTGCATGTGACTCAGTGCAAGGGCCATTTCTTCTTTGACTCAAACTCGACACGGCCCTTATTACTACTTCGATATCACGTAAATATGGAAGGGAATCTGCGAACCACTTCTTTTATCTCGTCTATCCTCTAGCTTGATAACCTAGTGTTTGCAGGAGTAGTGATAAACGTAGTACTAACAACTTGGCTATCGCTCATCCAGCCTCTGTCACATCTCTCCCACCTTCCTCGTCACTATTATATCGGAGTAGAGATTCACCCTTCTGCTCTTCTCCACCCGCCGCTAACTCCTCAGTGCCATCTTGCTGATTCACAACAACATTATTCGCACTACCACCACCCTTACCATCCTCACCACCATCAACCCCAACCCCAACCTCGTTACTTCCCTCCAATCCCTCTCCCTGCACAACCACGTTAGTAACCCGCAGCACACCCCTCCCACCACCATGTCCCTCCGGTACCCGATAACTCCTCGGCAGCGTCAGATTACTCGAGTGCGAAGTTATCGTGCGAATCCGCTGAGTACCACGCTCATTAACTTGGCGTTGAGTACGGAAGTGTCGTGTAAGAGTTTCGTGGGGGGAAACACTGGCCTGGGGTGATGAGGTCGAGAATCCAGCGGGTAATTCATCTGCTCGTTGGATAGCTGGTGCGTTCGTGTTGGCATTGTTGGGTGCTGTATATCCATGCTTCGCAGGCGTGCTAGCCACCTCCCCTTGATCCCGTTCAACCGCCATCATCAGATCCCGTATCTCCTTTGCTGCATCCTGTTGCAGAGGTAAATCTTCAAGTTGCGTTTGCCGTAACCGGTCGCTGAGACTTGAACCTGAGTGCTCTTGCCTAGGCCCACGCTGAACCTCTTCCCCTCTCTCTCCACCTGAAGACCCTGTCTCCGAAGATACAGAAACAGGCAAAGGAGTCATCACCCTAACACTCCCCGGCGCCCTCTGAATCATCTGCGAAAGCCCAACTGGCGGACCAATAACACTCTGCGTCCGGCTTTCTAGGTTTGGGACAAGAGAAGGTGGATTGGGTTGCGTGCTGTCTTTTCTCCTCTTTGCTTTGGGTTTGGGGACCAGTACGGGGACTTCTGTGGGGTTGTTGTTGTTGTTGTTGTTGTTGTTGTTGTTGTTGATGTCTTCGATGTGTTGGGTACGCGGCGCAGATGGTTCGGCAAGTCGGAGGGCCATGAGGCGTTCTCGGAGTTTTGCTTCTTCTTCTCTTTTTTGGGTTCGGTTTATCTTGTGGGAGAGGTAGGCTAGGCTGTATTTCTTTGGGGCTGTGGGTATGGCGGGGGTGGTGGGTGCGTTTGTGTTGGTTGGATTGGGGGTGGTGGTGGTGTGTAGTGGTGTGACGGTTCCGGGTCGACAGGTAAAGGTGCTTAGGAGCCGGTTCATCATGTTCTTACTCCTCGCGTCGGTTTCTCCAGCGGAAGTCCTCATACCGAACTCCTCCTCGTCCTCTCCCTCTGCCATCCTTCTCTCTTCACCACTCAAAGCGTCCAGATACCGCCGCCGAACCTCATCCTCCCGTTCTCCGCCCTCACCTCCACCACCCTCATAACTCTCCCCCACAGACCCAAACACCCTCTCAGGATCATACTGCACAGGCGAAGACACCGTCCGTCTCCTGCCCCTCCCTTCACCCCTCCTCCTCAAATTGCGCTCACTCCCCGTATGATACCCCTCAAGCCCAAGCCAATACTCCCTCATCCCTTCTTCGTCCATACCGTGATAGGGATGATTAGGCGCATACGTATACCCCCCTTCTACACCATCATCATCATTGTTGTATCCATCGTTCCTTTCTTGTCGTTGCTCAATCCGATAACTCAGGCTCGACGCCGTCCCCTCCGCAGAAATCAAATGCCTACTCGCATTAAACGGACTAATAGGACTTATCGTTCTATCACTCGGATAAATCGGGAAGCGAGCGTGTGGTGTAGGCGGTGTTACGGCGCGGTAGTATGGGGATGGGGATTGTGTGGGTCGAGGTGGTGGTGGTGGTGGAGGGGGCTGGGAGAAGGAGGTTGGTGAGGGCGGTGCGTCTTCTGGGTAGGGGTTCGATGGTATCGATAGTGCCGGTGATGGAATCGATAGTCCCGGTGAGGAGTTTGGGTGTATGATTAGGTTGGGAGGGGAGGGGAAGGGCGGGGGAGGTGTGGTTCGCGCGGGTTGCCGGGTTAGGGGCAGGAGGAAGTCGTCTTCGGGGTAGGGGTTTGAGGGGAGGGAGAGGGAGTCTTCGTTTCCTTGGCTGCCGGGATAGGGTGGTTCTTCGTCTTCGTTTTCTTCGTCTTGGGCAGCAGGCTGGGATGGCTCTTCGTCTGGCGGTTCTTCGTTCTGCGCTTCTTCGTCATGCGCTTCTTCGTCTTGCGCTTCTTCGTCTCGCACTTCTTCATCTTGCGCTTCTCCACCTGGTCCATCTCCATTCCACTCCTCAGCCCCCAGACCCCTTAGCATACTCTGCAACTCACGCCCCTTCTTCTTGCCCACCTACACACCCTAGTCAGCATCAATCCATCAATCCATCCATCCCAAAAATCAATCACATACCGTAGCATACCTCCCCCCACCCTTATACATCCTCTTTACCTCATCCAACCCCCTCCTCCTCGCCGCCCCACTATTAATACTATGATACGCCACATACATCTCCCTCTCCCTCCCTCCAACTCCTCCCACTCCAACCTTTTCCCCACCCGATACACTCTCTTCACGCTCTTCCGCAATCCGGTGCTCTGAACGCATCAACCGTTCTTCTTCTCGGTCCATATCTAACTCCCATTGCGCGTCCCACGACGCGTTGGTGATATCTTCTCTGCTTGAACCTCGATGGAGTAGGCGTAGGGGTTCCATGCTATCGGATCGGCCGTCATCCCCATCGTCCTCACCATCATCCCCGTTCCCACCATGACCATCCCCCTCTCCATCCCCCCACCCCACGGGACTCAAATCCCTTAAATCCTCCTCCGACTTATCCACGCCAGTGTAATACAGACCCAGCGAGGCAGACAGCGCCGTTCGTGCATTATCTCCCCGGCGACCCAGGCTATCTCTGCGGCGGAGGGTATTGGTGGTGTTGGTGAACCGGCCTTTGAGCGATGTGACGGTTACGTTTTGGCGGATTGTGGCGATGCGGTCGCGGAAGCGGGAGAGGTAGATGGCGGTGGCGGTTTGGTCGGGGGACATTTTGGGTGGGAGGGTATGGGTGTAGGTGTATGGGGGATGTAGGTGTGGATGTTGGTGTGGAAGGTCTTGAGGAGGAGTTTGGAACAGGTTATGCAGGCATTTCCCTTGGTAATTCTGCGTATGAGTCTCGCGAAGGATTTCGCGTGCGAACTGATGGATCTGGCGTTTTGAGGTCAACGCTGGTTCATGGGATGTTGACAAGAAGGTGTTGCACCCGCGGCCGTTGGAACTGGGACCTGAACCGACTCCCAAATTCCGAGCTTGTCACCGTGCGCTGTGGGCACTCATACTGTGGAAGCGAGACACGAGGTACACACTGCTTATGGGTGGATTAAGTTGGTGGACTGAGCGTTGTTGGGCTGTCAAACGTCAGTGGTTTTGACATCCTTACCCGTACATTGGACCCTGATAGCCATATAACCATCAATCACATAAGACACAAATGCAATACGCACCAATCTAAGAGAATATGTTTCATTAGGGTATCCACGCCACCACTACACCTTCTCTCCCACACCCAGCAAGTCCAGCAATACTTCCTTCGCCTTGTCTGGCTCGACACTCCCATCTGGAGCACGCATCACCATTTGTCCCACGAACCAGCCGACCTTCTTGACTTGACCCTTCTCAGTGATGTCTCGAACCATGTCGGGTTTCTCTTCTAGTAGAGTCTGTGCTAGTTTGATGTACTCTTCCTGGCTGAGGGGTTGCAGGAGAAGGTTCTCTTGGTGGATGACTTCAGATACGCTGCGCTCATCTCCCTCGAATTTGATGGCAAGTAGGCGTTTTGCGGAAGGCGACGTGACCTCTTTGCGACGAATGTGTGAGATGACACCGGCGAGATAGTCGGCCGGGACACGGTTGGGGTCCCAAGGTTCGTCTTGGAAGAGAGAGCCGAGTTCCATCAACACCCTGGTCACGTGTTAGTCTGATCTCAGTGCGGATCGTAGCAGATGAACATACCAGTTCCCGGTGATCTTGCCCAAGGTTTCAAGCGGAACGTCTTTCTCGTGCTGCTCGGTTTGGCGCACTAGGCAGCGAATGACTTCTAGATAATACTCCAATCGTTCACCGTCGTCCATGGAGAGAAGTGTGATGGCATCCTTGGTAGTAAGTCCGTAGGTATTGGCGAGCATGTCCACGTTCACATCGGGCAGCTTGGGAAGGGTATTCCGGAGGTGTTCAACGAGATCCTGGACATGATTAGCAAAAGCTTCATAGCAATGGAAGTATTCACACTTACACTTCCAATGATGACAGGAGCAATGTCTGGGTCCGGCATGTAGCGGTAGTCGATCTCGCCCTCTTTGCCTCGGAGACGTTTGGTAGTCTTGCTTCCAAGAGTCCATCCGCGAGTCTCGCCCTCAATGACACCTCCACCCTCGAGCAAATCGATTTGTCGATCACGTTCTGCGATGATGGCGTCTTCGACAGCCTTGACGCTTGCCAAGTTCTTGATCTCAGTCCGCTGACCTAGACCAGTAACACCGTGGTATGAGTGGCTAGCTTCGAGTGACTCGCCTGCACGTTGACGAACAGATACGTTGACATCGGCACGCAGTCCGCCTAGCTCCATGCCGGTTGTACAAGCATTGACAGCCTTGAGTATATTCTGTATTTTGCGAACGACGACAGCAGCGACTGTAGGATCGTGGATCTGAGGTAGTGTGATGATCTCGATGAGAGGATGCGAGACGCGGTTGAAGTCGAGTAGGTGGGTCGAAGGGGGTTGCTGCACGGTCTTTGCGGTATCCTGCTCCATCTGTATCTGCTTGATGCCAATCTCGACAGGCCCTGGTTGCGGGGCAGCGCCAGGCGGGAAGTCATGAGGGTACAGGGTAATCTTGCCGTTCGTCGCGAAGGGCTCATAGTACTGCGTGATCTGGTAGCCGGAGGGTTGATCTTGGTAGAAGTAGTGCTTGCGGTCGAAGCTGCTCTTGGGCTGTATCTCGCATTGGAAGGCTATGGCGGCGCGGAGGGCAGGTAGGAGGGTTTCCTTCTGAAAGTGAGGCTGAGTACCAGGGAATGCGACGTCGAATAAAGAGACATGAGTATTGGGTGCCTCGCCGACTGAGGTCGCAGCACTGGAAAAGAGTTTCCGCGCAGTATTGAGCTCGGCATGGACTTCGATTCCAACCGTTAGCTCCCACTTCTCTAGTCGCATATCTTTGCCCTTTTTCGAGGACTTTGGGGCGCCAGAAGAGACGCTCTTCTCTTTCTTTTGTTGCTTTGCAGCATCTTTCAGCTGCTTTCGGAACGCTGTGCCATCCTGGGTCGGTGGTGGCTGCGTCTCAGTGTGGAGAGATCGTGCTGTGTGACGCGTGGGAAGATGGACAGCGCCCAATTGAGACTGTCTAGCCCGGCGCAGACATGAATGACATATGTAGGGCTGTTTCGAGGCTGTAGCAAGAGTGTTGCGGGTGGTGCGGGCGAACATGACGTGAAGTATGGCGAGCAGCAGTTCTGATGCCAATGCACAGTTGCGGGCGGTCTGTGCTCACTTCCGAGCGACCTTGGACCAGCGACACGCGACGCCAACCACCCAATACTTCAAAGCCAGGAAATGAAGTCGACGCCAACGCCAAAATCTCTCGCGTCGCTTGTTCCACTTGAACACATTTCGACGTCGCCCGAAAGGCCGTCGAACTCGACGAGCCTTACAGACATTATCTCGACACCACCGCATTCACAACGACCGTCCGCTTTAGGTCACCTTGTGGAGTAACCTCTGGAGTTTCCTGATTGCCCACTCAACAAGTGCTTGTCTCTTTCCGGGTCGTCTTCGCTTCACCCTCTCGAGGTCGATAAGACGGAGGTTGGCAGCGACTCCGCCTAGGTTCTCGGGCACTGACAGCGTTGGATCCGATTCGCATGAGCTTCCTACTGCGGCATGTGTCTCAGGCGCCGCACTCGATGTATTCTGGTGCACTGTAGTCGGCGCGTAGACATGAACATAACAGGTGATGTTCTGATAGAAGGTGTGCTCACCCGCGTTAGGGCGAGGAATGTCGAAACTACCGACGTTTGCCATGCGAGTCTTTTCGATCGGCTCTCCTCCTGCGGACACGAGCCTTCAGTCTTCTGAAACTGTTGCGGCACCTCTGCCACGCTTCTTCGTCTTTCGGTCTGTCGGCGGCGTGTACGAAGTTCCCAGGATGGACATACACCCCCGGCCAGCGAGAGAAGTTTGCCTCTGATCCAACGTTGGAGCCTTGGGAGAATCGCACGCTCCGATAACTCCGACTGCTGCGTACACTGGTCCCCATCCGCGCAAAAGGGTTGAATGTTCCGGGCTCGAGCTTGGTGAGACGTACGCGAGTTTTGACCGAACAATTGAAGCCTCAAAACTTGCCCTTGATGATGTTCTCGGCAACAGCTTTGGCGCTGTTCAGGAACTTCTTTGTCTGTTCTTTTCTTTTCTCCTTCTTCTGCGTCCTTGCTTGTATACGCTCTTCTCGTTGCTGTCGTTCCTCTGGTGTGCTAGTATCGGGTTGTGTCTTCGACTGCGACGGGGTGGAAGGACCGGCAGTGTCTGTCTGGGGTGTAGCGGCGAAGTCGGTGTACTTGTATTCTCGTTCAGTCGGATGAGGTTCTGTGTCGGCACAGTCTTTCCCTGAATCGGCACCACAGTCACCTCCAGTATCGCCTTTCGAATCGGCTCCGTGATCTCCAGATGTCGTTCCGCAATCGCCTGAGGATGTCGTCCCAGAGTCTGCGGCGACGAATGAAGACTCCATTCAAAGCCTTGATGTGTGTTTGGCGTCGCTCAAAGATGGAGCTTGAGTGTAAGAAGCGTGGCAGTCAGACGGATCTTCTCCTTCAACTTAGCCGCCTCGTGGCGCTTCGCTTTGACTGCAGTAGCCGTCTCGGCTCGGACTGCCCTCCTTTGTTGCTTCTTCTCTTTTTTTTCCGCTCGCTTACGCTCGTACTCCTCTTGATCTTCTTTGCGTTTGCGGTCGCGTTCCGCACGCTCCTCGGCTGTCAATGGTCGGCTGGACGAGGAGGAGCCTTGTGGAATGTAATCGGTTCCCGAATCCCCACCTGAGTAGCTGCCACCGTCACCTCCGTCACCTGCGGTATGGGATGTGCTGCAACCGCCGGAGTCGCCGCCGCCACAGTCGCCGGAGCTATAGCTAGCGCTACCACAATCACCGCCGTCTGCCATATACTGCTCTCAAGTTCCGAGGTGAAGCCGGAGCCGGAGCAAGTTGACGTGGAGCCAAAGTTTGGTCTTCTTGCTACCCGCGTCTGGGAGCTTGGCCTTGGTGTTTGCTTTGGCCTTGTCTCGAACCACCTTCCGCTGTCGCCTCTTTCGCGCGAGCCTCGTCTTTACTCTGTACCCTACCGTTCCCTCCTTGCTGCAGAGATAGCTACCGGGATTGGGGGATATGAAGAATGGTGTGCTTGATCCGCAATGTGTGCTGGTTCCACAATCTCCGTGTGACATGTAAGGTGGGATCTAGTAGTCCAGCCGACAAATCGATCTCAAGTCTAGAGATGAAACCTGAGTTTGAGCAAGGTGATGTACAGTCGAAGCTTAGCCTTCTTGCTAGTCGTGTCCGGGAGCTTAGCCTTGGTGTCTGCTTTAGCCTCGTCTCGAACCTCCTTCCGTTGTTGCTTCTTCTCTGCGCGCTCCTCTTTCTTCTTCCGCAGTTCTTCCTTCTCCCCGGCGGTGAGATGGCGACTGGGAGAGCCAGGTGCCCAGATTGGTGTGCTTGCAGACGAGATAACACCAGGTGTGCTCGCGATCGCTGGCGCTGACGGTGCGCACGCTGTACTGGCTCCACAACCTCCAGATGTGGCTGCACAGGTCATAAAAGGTCGGTCGTAGTCGTCTACCAAAGACGGAAGATACCAAAGAAGTCGGCTATCTTAGCGCGAAGTCCCTTCTTCAACGTGCGGTTCGCTAATCTCTCCGCTCTAGCTTCTCGGCGTCTGAGTTTGCGAAGTCGTCGCTCTTCGATGATTCTCCTTCTTTCGTGTGGTTCGAGTGGATTGGT